TAGATATTCTATTGAAAGATCACTAAAGTAAACATTAAAATGCACCAAAAGTACATAATCACACGCAAACAGCTGTGTAATTCTATATCAAGGTGTAAGAAATTGTTGCGCAAGCATAGATATTCTACGCGCACATAAATATAAAGTTCACAAATTACTAAAGTAAACGCGTTATAAAAAGTACATAACCACACGGAAACAGTTATATGATTATATATCGACTTGAAATAAATTGTTACGTAAACGTAGATATCGTTACGCAAACGTAGATATTCTACGTGCATAATTTTGAAAATAATTACAGATTGTGTTTAAAGTAAACGCAGAAAAAGCATAAAAAGTATATAATTACTAAAACAGCTAAATAATTATATATCGAGTTGTAAGAAATCGTTGCGCAAACGTAGATAATCTAAGCAATACCCACAATCACTATATATCTTTACAAATAGTAATATTTTGCATCAGGGTATGGAGGTAAATCATTAAAGATCCAACTGATTTCGTATAACAGCAAAAATCACCCTACAAAGTGTTCGCCTCTGGTCTAGCCAATCATGTGAGTTAACTAATCCAGTGAACTAATGCTTGGGTACGGTGCCGTTTCGATCGCGACACGGCACGTCACATCATACGAAATCTTTTAACTCAAAAGGTGCGCGCATCTATAAGATATTTACATATAAAGCCTATATATCAAAAGTAATGTAATCACACTAAAAAAATAATAATAATAATAATATTGGAATTTAACAGTGAATTCCATGCACAGAGTGGCTCTTATAGAGTACAAAAACTATAAGTGCGCAACATAAATACCACTAATTACTGCTAAATTATGCTAATCCTATTGTTTTCTATTGTTTAATTAGCACTATTTACTACACTTTTAGTGAATGTACTCTATCTTTGTATCAAATTATATATAAATTATATATATTACTTAAAGTTATATCAAATTATAGTAAAACCGTTCGACGTGCGCGGATAGATATTCCAAATAGTTGCGCACGCGAAAATGTTATATACAGGCAAGAGAGCATCTTGATATAGAACAATACGGGAGAATATCAAAAATAACCATAATCACACCAAGTAGCTATGTTCTCCATTCTTGGTTTGCAATCAATCCCAAGAGAGCACAATAACAAAAGGAATGTCCGCCATGTTGGAAGATATAACAAAAGAATTCATTGAAAAATCTTTTGTCAAATTCTTCCAACATGGCGGCTATGACGTCTATTGCAAACGAAGATTAGAGTGCATACCATATTTCCTTGAAAAAGAATTATTAGAATTAGAATCTAGCGTGTCAGGAATGTGGAGTGAGGATAACCGGGAAACCCGCAAACAAATCCCTAAATCAAGGGAGAGACCTCTCCTTGTTCTGCTGATTGATGACGAGCCATTTTGATGCTACCTCCAATAGCAGATTCAAAAATTTCAGTTATTTTTATAACTGTGTTGAATCATTGTTAGGAATATTAGCATCATCTACTACGGCATTATCGTTATCAAACGCTTTTTTACTAGTTGTTGGCGTAGTGACGCTGTTCTGGTTCTGGGTAGAAGTATCGTTGGGAACAATGCGTTGATAAACACTTTTAGTCTTCCTGTCGCTCTTAGGATCTAAAGCACTGGGATCTCTTAATTCGATGTGGCTTCCTCTTTCGTATGCGGGGTTTGATGCTGCAGTGTCCACCACGTTGTTAACGACTACTCTCTCCAGCTCAACGTCCTCACTCTCTGTATTCTTTTCATGATGAACCTCTATTAGTATCAGATACACAACTGCACCAAGAACTCCACCTAACAGGCTTCCAATTACGGGTACCCATGACCAATTATTACTAGCACTATAAAAACAGAAAAAAGTTCGTTTTACTTATGGACCAGGCAATTATTTAAGCCGGCAGGGGGTGGAGGATGAAATGTTTTTGATGCAAAACATTTTCCAGACCCCTAACTAATAGCATTCATGTTTTTCGGGTACACCCCTTCAATGGTTGAAAAAATCCTAACAATCCTCCTTTTGACCTTTTAAGGCCCCCCATGTTCCACTAAAAAAAATTGAGGGCCCCCATTTTCTCCTCCACCCTCCTCCGACTTAGATAATGAATGGTCCCTTACTCGTTTCTTATTTGCATTAACACGTCTAACTTGCTGCATGTCCCTCCTATTAATTTTAAGGGTCATCGTAGTATAGGGATGAAGCGTCTTCACATGCTTTCAGTTCGACGACGTTTAGCTACGCTACTGTAAGCTTTCAGCACTTGCGGTGGTGATAACAATTAATTAGCAATAACAAAATAGAAATATTGAAATAAAAATATTGAACTACTCACGTAAACACTTCAGATCCCCAGCCCGCCATGGCAGTAAAGATCCTCGGTCCCA